CTGTAAGTAACCTCTCACCCATGTCCCTGTATAAAAATCCCATAAATTCATTGGCTGGCCAAGTTGGACCTTTGTGGGAAGTTCCTATGTCACCATTGGAGGTTTACCTGGGATGACAACTTATTAGTTCACATCTACCCAGGGATTGTTCTTAGAACAGGGTTGACCTTAGCTGACCTGGCCTGAGGGTCAGTCAAGAGGGTCTGCAAGGGAGAGAGTAGGGATGGAGGGGCAAGAGATTCTAAGAATGGAGTTAAGTCAGTTGTCTGATCAAGTCTCTTTTATTGAAAAGCAATTATGCACATATAAGCACAAGCAGGGGAGTGCAGCTGGAGACCTTAACCAGGAGTGCCTTACAGCTGGGGACACTAAACAACAAGTCCAGGAAATGTCTGAGAAAAACAAGATGCTTATGAGAGAGTGCTCAGCTGTTGTTGGCTGCTTGCAAAAATATCATGCTAGAAAAACAAGTCTCATCAAAGTGGAAAAGTATCAACGTGCAAATATATGGCCTGGGATGGCTACAAAAATGATAGCTGCTTTCTGCTAGGAGTTGGCTCCCAACACATAGCCTTGTACATATTAGGAAATTGCTCCATCACTGAGCCTCATTCCCTGCCTAATTTGCTTACTTATTTATTCCCATTCTTTTATATGTTTGTATGCATGCATGCAAGCATGCATGTAATGATTTATTGGGCTGAAGCCTATTACTACATTGTCAGAATGGAAGCTCACTTGTAGACATGTAGGTAGTCCAGGCTAGTCTTGAACTCAGAGGTCTGCTTGTCTCCCCAGTGGTATGGACCAACATGCCTGGTTGCTAGCCACAAAGCTCCAGTCCCACACCACCCCACTTCCCACACAGAAAGGTTTTTTTGAACTTTGGGCTGTCCTGGAGATTATTAGATAATCCAGGGTGACTTTGAACTCAACAGAGCATCCCAGTCTCAATAATAATAATAATAATAATAATAATGTTACAAAAATAATAATCTATAGGGTGAGATTATGTTTCCCTAGTTGGTTCTTGATTTGGTCAATAAAGAAGGCAGAATGCAATTGCTGGGTGAACAGTCAAGGTGAGATTTCAGGGACCCAGAAGGAAGGGAAAAGAGGCATGAATAGAGCATGCCTTTGCCCAGGCTTTGAAATTGGAGACATGAACAACCATGTAAGATCTTGGGAGGCTAGAAACTGTGGCCTCTGGCACTGGTGGATAGCTCAAATGTGGTAGTTCATAAGGTTTGGGGAGGATATTCTGTATGCTGCAGTTGTGTTATCTGGCAAGTTCTTAATTAATAAAGCTGACTAGTGTTTTTCTTCCACTGAGGTTATGTGGGAAGAGAAAGAGAGAAGCTGAAAGGGGTCTGTGGATTGTGGATTGTGGGCTGGTTGCAGTCAATTTTGGGATAACCTGGATAGAGGTAAGGGAATCTCTAGAGATCCCAGTACTAGTCAAGCTCCCGAGAAGGATGTAAACTTGGATTTTTTGTTTTGGTTTGGTTTGGATTTTTGCTTTTTCAAAACAGAGTTTCTCCGTGTAAGCCTGGCTGTTCTGGAAATCACTCCATAGACCAGGCTAGCCTTGAACTCAGAAATTCACCTGCTTCTGCCTCTGAAGTGCTGGGATTAAAGCAGTACACCACCACTGCCCGCCTCTGGTTTTTTAAAATTACCTGCAACAATAAGCCAATTTAGTAAAATTTAGAGTCATGACCTGTGTGCAATACTACATTCTCAGCGCCAAAAGGAGAGATCTTTAAAAATGATAGCTGCATGTTTTCTTAACGTTTTATTTTATGATTTTTAGACTGGGTCTCTCTTGTATTCCCTTGGCTTAGAATTCTTTTTTTTTTCTATTTTCTTTCTTTTTTTTATTGGATGTTTTATTTACATTTCATATGTTATCCCCTTACCCCATGTCCACACACCCAGGAACTCCCTATCCCCTCACCACTCCTCCTTCTTCTCTGTGGATGTACCCCTACCTACCCTCCCACTCCCACCTCCCCGCTTTCAAATTCCCACACCCTGGGCCATCCAGCCTTCATGAGACCAAGGATCTCTTCTCCCACCTATGCCCAGCAGGCCCCTCCACCCTTTCATATAGAGCTGGAGCCATGGGTCCCTCCCTAAGTGCTCCTAGGCTGGTGGTTTAGACCCTGGGGGCTCTAGTTGTTTGGTATTGTTGCTCTCTTCATGGGGCCACAAACCCTTTCAGCTCCAACAGTCTTCACT